CCTATTAACTGATCGGTGTGTAGAGAGGTTAAAATTAATGTCAACCTCTTGTGGGTATAAGTAAATGCTCTACCAATCTTGGGGAGGCTCCTCTCCTTGGAGTAGGGGAGGAGCTCCACCTGACCCTGTTATTCTTTCTTGTCTGTCTTTTTCTCATTCTCACTGTGGTTCCTACCCATGACACACCAAGAGCCCAATGAGTGCCTAAAAAAATCCGTGTGGAGATTCCTCAAAAAACTAGGATTAGAGGTCTCATTCCACCCAGAAGGCGTATTTTCCCAAAAGAACTGAAAACATCATACTATAACAATATATGTGCACCCATGTTTACAGCAGCACAATTTGTCACAGCTAAATCTTAGAAACAATCCAAATGCCCATCACCTGAGGAATGGCTAAAAAAGATATGATATTTTTATACAGTGGAGTATTACTCAGCTATAAAGAATAATAAACTTGAGGCTTTTAAAGGTAAATGGACATAAAGACCATACTCAAAAGTGAAACAAATTAGACTCATGTGTCATATTGTCTCCCTAGTATAAGAAACTGACGGAGTAAATAAAATCCAAAAGATACAATATGTAATGTGAAATGGAACGAAACTGCTCAAAAGGAAAGAACTGGGATGGGGGAAAGAGAAAGAAGAGGGGAAAAAATATATATATATATATATATGTACATGCACACATAAGATAGCTAAGATAACTGTACTACTAATTTCTACCACTTTATTGAAAGGAACAGTTAATGCTTAATTGACCAATTTTGCATGACTATATCTGGTGGCCTTATTACTTTTTTATTTTAAAAGCATAAAATTTTTTAAAAAAGAATTTCAAAACAAGATGATAAGAAATTAACAATGGTTGGTAGTATTATATTTTGGTATCTCTAAAGTAGTTATTCAGACTAAGCGCCTGCTTTGGCAAGTGCAGGGACCAGGTGTGATCCCTGGTCCTGCATGCCCTGCTGGCCCCGCCCCCTGGGGGGGCACACTGAGCTGGAGACTGAGTCCAGGTGTGGTGGCACACGCCTGTAATCCCAGCACTGGAGAGGCTGAAAACAGGAGGATCACCAGAAGTCCAAGCCACATAGTGAGACCTTGTACCAAATACATATATGAAATAAAAATAAAATTAAAAAGTACACTACAAAAAGTTTGAGATTTATTTCACATGGTTATTTCTAATTGCTTCAGATTATTATAGGGTAAATTAATTCCTATAGGTCAGTTACCTTTAAAAGCATGTCCTTACTGTTTGCTTGGGTGGTTGTTTTGGATGGTACAGTGAAATTCACTGGGAACATGCTGACAGGGGCATAGGCCAGAATGACAGAAAGAACAGTTCAGTTCCCACAACTTGGTTCAGGAGAGGTGCACACACAGGTTGGTACAAAAGTGATTTTCATCCTTGAGGAATGTAGTTGGTATGTGTTGTAATTATTTCCTTTTTTGCTACTTTGTAGGTGGTACAACATGGAAGTTTAGACCCTGGGCTCTAGAGTCAGGTGCTCCAACTCCAACATTAGTTGTACAATGTTGGACAACTGACTCAAATTCTATAGGCTCTAGTTTAACCTTTTTTTTTTTTTTTTTAATTTAGTACAGGGTCTACAAGGTCTGTGGGGTCTCACTATGTAGCTCCAACTCAGTGATTCTCCTGTTTTCAGCCTCCCACGTGCTACACTACAGGCATTTACCACCATGCCTAGTCTCAATCACAATCTCAGCACGCCTCCATGACAGGCTGGGGATCAAACCCCAGCCACTGCACTCTGCCTAAGCAGGCACTTTAGTCTGTTGAGTTATTTGGCCTGCCCTAGTTTAACTATTATGAAACCAAATAATAAATTATCGGATTCTTAGTGTGGTTAAGATTTAATAAAATAACATATATAAAGTGATTGGCACTGCTCCTGACACAAAGTAAATATTCAACAAATGTTGAGCTTTCTCATTACAGTCATTATCACACTACAAAAACAGTAAATTGAAACTTCTTGAAAATAATATACTAAGTTGGGTACAATGGTACATGGCTATAATCCCAGAACTCAGGAGGCTGAGGCAGGAGGATTGCTGTGAGTTCAAAGCCAGCCTAAACTATACAGTGAGACCCTGTCTGTTATGGTTTGTGTCTAGTTGTCCCCCCAAAGCCTCATGTAAGTTACGGGGCAGACACAACTGGAGGAGCAACCTGTGGTTGAGGGGCAGGGCCAGAAAGGCATGAACTGTTACACTGGCTAGCCTGTGCTTTTTGAGAGATGTATAAAGGGGTCATCTGGGACACAGCAGTGCCCCAGCCTTTCCTCCAGTGTCTTGAAACCTCCAGTAACTGTGAGATAAATAAACCTTTCTTTCCTTCATTTTGAGTGTCAGGCATTTCTCCCAGCAACGAGAGAAGAGTAACTAATACATTGTCTCCAAAAAAATAAAGCATACTAAAACAACTTATGAAAGCATATTCCATACAATTTAGGCACATTACTGTGCTGGTAGTAAATCATACTTCGTTCTAATTAATGCTTCTTCAAAACAGAATATAACTGGACTCTTGAGACCTCTTTATTACCAATTAATATATCTGCCAACTAAATAGGCTTTGTATAGAAAATTAGTCTCAACTATGTTACTGAAAGACTCAGAAAGTTACTTATATCTAAGACAAAAGAGCTCTATTTTCAAAGCAACAGCAATGATAAAGTGGTTAAACCTTTGGTTAAAATTAACTATAGGCCTCTATCATAATCAATATTCACTAACTTGACTAATTTTCTTCCACCTCCATGTCCTTCCACCAGAAAACAAAAACAAAAAAAACCAATTTTTTAAGTCAAATAACATGTCTAAAATACTAGGCCCGCTAGGTTGTATGGTAATAACAATATGCTTCTCTTCTGGGGGGTTAACAACCTAAGTTTGCAGACCAAAAAATTAGAGAAAAAAGGAGGGCCACAAAGACAGCCAACATTTTGGCCCTAGCTGTCCAAGGTCAATTAAGACTCAGGACATATAAGAACCTGTACAGTAACATCATGTAACTCAGTTGTGTCCCAAATTTTCTGATCAAGGAGATTATGGTGCCAAAGAGGAAAGGATAATGTAGAGTGTGCCTAAGGAGAGTCAGATGGAGCATAAACATTTTCTCAGGCTTTCACAGAGAGCAAATTGGTCAAGCAATGGCCTTGACTCATCTATATGGCTGACAATGACAACGGATCTACACACTGAGGTACAGGGTCTCAGGATAAATCCTGAGGGGATTTGACTGACCTTATCAGATACAAAAGCTGTAATTCTTGTTACATAGGTCTTGCTTTATAAGAAGTAAAGCCATGTTGTTATGTTGAGCTGTAGGGGACTCAGGTCAACAACTTCTGATATTGCCAGTCATGTGGAACACCCAATACTATTATGGACTACTGGACTATTTTGGAATATTTTGCTGAGTTCACACACCTATATTTAAATGACGGAACTAAACAAAAAAAAGGGGGATACAGATGAATGACCATTTTGTATCTGTGTATTCAAAATGATTAGGATAGATATACAGCTACATTCTCTTAATTCAATGAATAGAAGGATTTGTTCTAATAGTGTTTACAAATAGGATATGTCTGCATCTTATACAACAAAAAACTACTAGGAAGACAGTATGCAATGTGTTAATTATTAAAACTGTCCTACTAATTTGATTTGAAACTGTCTCATTGCTATTTGTCTCTCAATAAAATTATGGAAAAAAATAAAACAAAATACTAGCCCTGGGGCCGGGTAGATGGCTCAGTAGGATAAGCGCTTGACTGGCAAACACAAGGATCTGAGTTCAATCCCCAGTTCTGCAAAAAAAAAAAAAAACTAGCCCTGTTTCTGCCCATTTTACATATATATATATATATATATATATATATATCATATAGATATTAAATATGACATGAATCAGTATATACTACTGCATACATATTGCTCTGAGAGTGTGTGTGTGAGTGTGAGTGTGAGTGTGTGTGTGTGTGTGTGTGTGTGTGTATGACACACTGGAGATCCAGCAAAACATGTTAAACCAAGAATTTCAACAAGTAACTAAGTTACAGAAGTATTATCCAGAAAGAACTACTTCTCAAAATTCCAAAACAACTTTACCTATGTGAAGAGTGCTCCTGAAAGACGAAAATTATTTCATCCCTTTTGGGGTAACAAGAAAGTCTCATTTATCATAAACTGAAAACACAAAAAATTTTCCTTCATTCAGAAGGTACCCTACAAATTCTCCATTTCCCAAATGCTATTATGCAGGTAAAAAGCCACTACTGCTATTATCCTTGACATCATGGCATAAAAATAGATTAAAACAAAACAGAGGGAAGTCTACGTATATTCAGCAAGACTGTTAACAGCTTGACATTTTAATTTAGTGTTCTATGTGCTATAATTATACCCAAAGCAATGTAAGCATCACAGGCTCAGACATATGTTCTAATGTTCTAGTCAGCAAAATGGCCTACATTACCCAAGTACTTTCAAAAATAAAAATATTCACAACCACTTGAAAATGAAAAGTAAACTCTGCTCACAGCTATTTTTAAAATTACACTTTATAATGTTACAGTAGTTTATGTTCTATTTTAAAAATAGCCATAATGTCTACATTTAACAGAACTTAAAAGTGTCTTCCTCTGCACAAAAATAGTATGTACAAGTTTTTTAAAGTAAATTATTCATATCCGTATAATATTCCTCAAGAAAAAGGATTATTACAAAATCTTCTATCTAACAGAGTAATTGCCCTTTCCACAAGAAAGTACCAGTTCTAAAAATGTACTTTTTTCAGGCAAGGACTGACATTCACATACCGTAAATAAATATGATAGCATTAATATCTATCTATAGAAAAAGATCAGTTTATATACTAGTCTTAAGAGATCAATTGAAAGCAAAGGTAACTTTCAATAACAAAAGTACGAACTACAAATAATGTAATTTATTCTCTACTCACACATCCACAAGTAGTACATGAGCTTTACTGTCTTCTGGAATTCTACAGGAATGTCTACAGAAAAGTCCTGATAGAAACAAGGTCCCACAGGAAAATTCTCAGGAAGAGGTGGCCAATTATTTTTTCTACCTGTAATTTAAAAAAAGAATTACTCATACTCAATATATTGTTCTTATATTTATTACATGTCATTTTAAAATGTCTATACTCCTACAACCTTGAAAACGAAGTTTTGTATTTTTAAACTTTTTCTCAAAATATAACTTTAAAAAAAACCACAGATTATAAAAACAATTTTTCAGTGTCATATCATATCATATTTAGCAGGTATCAGAAAAAGGGGAGAAATCAGAAATAAAAAACATAGTTTCAAAGTGTCTGGCTGTACGAGGAAGCAACCCAGTTTTTAAACTTTAATATCTTCCTCAGCATCTTAAAATTTTCAGTAAAATTCTCCTACATACAGAGGGATGACCAGCGTCTGAGTCCTAACTTTTTTACAGTTAATTCCACAGAAACACAAGATTAAACTGGCATCAAAGAATTAAATTTGGAAATCTCAAAGTCTAGGGGAAAAAATTACCTAAGAAACACATGTAAGAAACCAAAACAAGTGAAAAAACATGAAATAGTCATGAAAAAGTAGTAAAGGAATTACAGCACTATCAGAATCTAAAGAAAAAGAAATTGGACTATGAGGAAAGAAAACATACAAAGAAATTAAGATTGAAAATAAAATAAGAGCTGGAATGGTGGCACACTCCTATAATCTCAGCACTTAGGAGTTCAAGGTCAGCCAGGGCTACAAAGTGAGTTTAAGGCTAGCCTGAACTGCATAGCAAGACCCTGCCTCATAAAGACAAAAAAGAAAAGAAAATGGGAAATGTTGTGGAAATTTTAAACAATTAAAAGTAATGCAAAAGTTAGAATATTAGAGGATAAAAATATAAACTAAAGACCATTTTCTAATTTTAAATAGTGTCTTTTGCCTCACAACTTACAGAATCCAATTTTACATAACTTTTCTGTACCAAAAGTTTTTTGTATATGGTGGGGTTTTTTATTTGGCTTTGTTCTGTTTTTCTGCAACATGGTCTCAAGCCCTGGGTGACCTCAAACTTACGAAACCCTGTCTCAGCTTTGAGCTTTGTGATTATAGGTATGTGCCATCACAACCAGCTGAGGCCATTTTTCATACTGCAAGAAAGCATGACCTTGCTCTGCTCCTCACCAACACGTCTTGCCTGTCCCATTGACTATATTGTCTAAATTTCATGTAACTCAGACACTTTCATACCAGTCTCAGGCTATTTAAGCAGCAGCAGCTCTGGACCTTGTCCAGACAAGGCTGAGCCACTAACTAGCAACTGGTCAAAGACAACCTCTGAGAGCCTATGTTCCTCATCTGTAAAATGAGAATGACCACTGGACTGCCCTTCCCAGGATAGTTCTGAGGATTAAATATGAGTTCGTAAGTGAAAAGCTCTAAAATATACTCATTCGCAACTCTAACTCTATTAATTTCTCACTCTTCATTACTACCTTATTAAAATCTCTCTCACAGAAATATTTTGAATTAGTTAATACTAGGAAAAGAAAACAGATTTTAGTTACAGATAATTCAGAAACATTGCTCTTAAATTAAATATTCAGTTTTTCCTTTGTAGATGCTATCTCTGGTCCTGCAAATAAGAAAATGACCCAGAGTGACCCTAGACCTATATGTTCTAAGATACAGAATAAGCCATTCTGTGTCCTGCATTACTGTTCTTATCCATCACTGTCCCAGGCACCCTGACAATGACTTACCTCCAGCTCTTGTCCCTTTTTATCCAAACACTGCTAACTTTTCTAAGACATTCCCTTGAAGTGATCTTGGTGGTTATAGCCTGAATAGATTTCATAACAAATAATTCAGCACTGATTTTTCTTTGGCAGCATATAAGCACACTAATCATCCAAGGATCACCACAAACACTTTTTTTAAAAATGTATTTCTGAGGACTGGGGCAGATAATTGAACCTGGTCTGGGTAAATCAGGTTAAGGATCAAACAGGGGACACACACATTCAAACGTTCTCTGATTCAACAGATCCAGAAAGAGCCCAAGTACAGAATCAAGGGCTCCTGGGTTTAGAATGAACCAGCTGTCAGATCTGCATCTGCCTTCTTGGTGATGGGCCTTAGCTGTTCTAATGCACCAAAGACTATGCAAAGCAGCCAAAATCAGAGAGCTCTAGAGTATCACACAGGCCATATGCGTTGTCTGATCTCCATGCTAGAATACAAAAACAAGCTAAGGAGTTATCCACATACAAAATGACCTATAGCTAGAATAGATACTTCTGTTTCAAATTTCTTTGGATACTACCATGTTGACTGAGGTTTTGCATTTCTCGTTCTCGACGATCTAATTCTGCAGCTTTTCTTTCTAGTTCTTCTTGCCGCTTAAGAAGTTCAGCTTGAGCCAGGGCATGTTCCTTAAACAGAAGTTATCAGTATATGAATAGCTTGTCAGAAATGTAAAATACTCTAACATTTATACACTACCTCCTACTTCATTCTCTATGATAGAAATCAAATTCAAAGCACCAGCCAAATAGCTCAGTGGATTAGGATTCGATCCCCGCCCCTTCTGTGCTAGCCCCACCCCTGGGGCACACTGACACTGCAATTGAGACTGGGCGTGGTGGCTCACGCCTGTAATCCCAGCACTTGGGAGGCTGTAAACAGGAGAATCACTATGAGTCTGATCTAGTAGTAAGACCCTGAACACTCTGTGGACCCTTCCCTAAAATACTGGAAAAAAAAAGAAATCAAATTGATTCTAAATTTTAGAACGGATGATTACTGTTTCAGAATATGTCACATGGATTTGGCTCTGTGGGCACAGAACCCCTCTCAGTATGAGCAGCGAGAGCCAGAAGTCATCTGGAAATTGAAAAACTAACATGACTTCTGTGCCTAAGTTTTTTGGTTTTTTGTTCTGTTTTGCAGTACTGGGGATTGAACTCAGGACCCTGTGTTTGCCAGGCAAGCGCTTATTCTACTGAGCTATCTCCCAGGGCCTCTATGCCTAAGTAAGATTAAGGACAGAAGCAAAGAGAACAGGTGAGGAAAAGGAGAGAAAAAAATAGCAACTGAGGGAGTTGTTTTGATAAACTGGGTTAAAATAACATAGTAGCCTCCCAGCAATGCAAGACTATTTTATAATGTCTTAAATGTCCTAGGATGTTGTGGTGGAAGAAGAATATGGTTAAGAAATTCTGGTCCCTAACTTCATCTGTCCATTCATGATACCAGATAACTTACTGACCTCTGTATTTCTTAGATTTCTGTCATCTACTTCCTCCTAGTATCACTACGTGTCCCTGGTAACTCTTTCCCTAGAATATCTGCCATTCTGTTATCAAGCAATATTGTACACTAAAAATTTAACTATACAAATTGAATTCAAGAAGAAAAATGAATTCAGTGATTCCTAATAATGGAATAACACAAATGTACAAACTGACAAAGAGGTGTGAGCACTTACAGAATGAAAACAGTGCTAATCTAGACTTAAAGTAAGTTAAAATTTTAAAATAAGGAATGTAATGATACAATTATAGTGGTCTCTGAACACAATATTGTTATTAATACTGTAATTCCAATACAAATTTAAACAGTGAATGTGAACTAACCTTTGCAATCTGTGTATAAGCTGGATGTTCCTCTGTTGGTTTCATTATTGCTGGCTGTGTATTAGGTACATTAGGCATTTTCACACTGCCTGGTGGAGGCTAGGAAGATTAGGAAAAGGAAAAATTATATGTATACAGTCCAATTTAACTTCTCTCAGAAGTTACAATACTAATAAAAAGCAAAATCCAGATCAGCCTCTTTTTCTCCCCTGCCTTCTCCAGTGAAATACAGGGAGTATCAAACCAAAAAAAATCACACCAAGCCAGCAGCAAGGCACAGTGGTATGGACCTACAGCCCCACTACTCAGGAGGCTGAGGAAAACTACCAGAGCCCAGAGTCCAAAGCCAGCCTGCACCACAGTGCAAGATATCATCTCTGTGCCAGTGCCCTGAAAAGTATATGGGTGATCTCTTGGTATAAGGAAACAGAAAATAAGCCAAATGCAATAAAATTTTTAAAAAAGAAAAGAAGCTAAATAAAACTACAAAACCTCTACTTTGTTAAAGAAGGTCAGCATTACTCAAAAGGAGCTTGAGGGCAAGAGGTAGATATCTACAAGTCCAGCAACAGGAAACTGGTTAAATCACCATATATACATGCAGCATATGTGTTGCAACTATCAAAAAGTGATTTCTAAATACTAAAGGAAACAAAACAAGCAACAGAAGAGCATGCAGATGATCTTTTTAAATAAACACTAATACATACTCAGAAAAACATCTAGAAGGTCACAGAAAATGATTATCAGGACTTCCACCTAGTGCTACATTTCTCTATTATCTGTCTCCCCCAACATACTTACACTGCTTTTTAATCCTATTTTTCAAGTGTTCTCTAGAAAGATTGTAAGGAAAAGAAGACACAAGGATGGGAAGATGAAAAGGCAGGGCCATGAGAGGAAAGAGGGGAGAGCAGGGCAGGGCAAGGGAGAAAGCTACAAAGGGAGGAAAGAGGAAGCCAAGGCGGCAGATGTACACACAGTATCAAATTCAACAGACAGAACTATTGGAAAGCACACAAAGATAGCAGGATTTTACCCTATCACAGCTAATAACAGCTTTGAAAAGGAAATCAAGCATGACTAAAGATATAATCGGAATACAGCTGATTCTAAAATTCATAAGGAAAAATAAAGACTAATAAATAGGTCAAACTCTTCTGAAGAAAAATAAGACTGGACCTACAATATCAAGACTTACTATAAAGCCATTTATTTAGGAGTATGATACAGAACAGAAAAATATACCAACAAACAAAATAGATACAAGCCCACAAAAACACACAAATCATACACCAAAGTGGTAGTACAAAATAGCAGACAAATACTGTTTTTATGGTGCTGGGATAACTAGATAATCACCTTTAAAAAAAAAAAATCTAAAAAAAAAGCCTAAACTAAATTTCTCACTTCATACCATATGCAAAACTAAATTAAGACAAACTAATGAACTAACAGTAAAGCTTAAATAATTTTAGGGTAAAAAGAAGGTGACTATTTTTGTAAACATAAAGAACTTCTTGAATGTTACCTCTGGATATTTTGTGTTTTGTTTAGATGTATCCCAAGTGTCTAAAACAATGCCTAGAACACAGTACATGCTCAGTAATTCATTGCATTACAAGATCAGGAAACACACAGACCATAAAAGTAAAGACTGACAAATTTAAGTAATTTGCAATCTAATAATAAAAAGTCAAATTATAAATTGGGGAAAATTAGTGCCTTTAATATAAAACTGCTACCCAGAATATATAAATCTTACAAATACAAACCACTAGAAAATCTCTAGAAAAACGAGAAAAAAACTACTAGAAAATCTCAATGAACAATAGAGAGAAGTGAATACAGTAATAACTAAAAAACATATGAAAACACATCCTACCTCACTTCATTGATAATCAAAAAATACAAAAACATATCACTTTTAAACTATGAAACAGAAAACTAGACTCTGATAATACCACAATTTGAAATTACAATATAACCACAGTGATGCTCTACATGAAAATTAAAGCTCTGGTCTAAATAGAACAGAAGGGACTATTAACAAAAGGGGCTGAAGCAATTATTTAAATTTGAGAGAGAAAAAAAACTACTGAATCTCAACAGAATAAATTCCAAGTAGCAAAATGCCAAATGTAAAAAGAAAAAAACAAACAAACAAAAAAAACCCACCAAGATTCCAGAAGATAGTTAAACTGTACAGACTACAGATGACTGATGACTCTGATCGTAAGTAAAACTAAACTATACAACTCAAAAGAGATGAGAGGAGAGAAGTCATAATTAAAAGGTAAAAACTTAGATAGTTGATGATGTAAAGAATTAAACAAAAATAGAAGTCAAAATCAAAATAATAATACACCAAACATATAAGAATAAAAAACAGCTAGATATGGCAATGCATATCTATAATCCCAGCACTTGGAAGACTGAGGCAGTAAGATTGCTACAAGTTCTAGACTAGCCTAATGAGACACTGTCTTAAAAAAATAAAAAGAAAACAAACCAAAAAAAAAAAAAGAAAAGAAAGAAAGAAATAAACATGCAATTGAAAAATGACGTTTTAAAAGTCTGAATAAACACAAAATGAAAATGAACATAAAAAGAAACCTCAAAGAAATGCAAATTTTACCTAATTCCTTTAAAATTATCATTATTACAGTATTACCACCATAATCTGGAAAAACTTTCATAAAATGTATATTTTCACACACTGATAGGTATACAAACTAGCATCTATGACTGTCCTACAGTACAATTTGGCATTATGCAGAAGTAGTCACTAAACATTCATATCCCATGAATAACAACTTTTATAAATATCTCAAGTAAATAATCTAAGATATTTACAAATACATGTATGTTAAGAATGCTAACTAAGCTTTATTTATCAAAGCAGTGTTAGAAATAATCCAAAGCCCAACAACACTGAAATGGTTAATTATGATCCAACCACAAGTTGAGGGTGGTGATCTAGCTTAGGTAGTGTTGGTCTCCAAAGAGAAAAGCCCTGGATTCAATCCTCTGGGGAGGGGGGAGGGAAAAGGAGGGAAGAGGGGAGACAGGTGACGAGAAAGGAGGGGAGAGCAGAAAGGGGAGAGGGGAGAGCTTAGACAGAAAAGAGGGGAGAGGAGAGAGGGGAAAGGAGAGAAGGGAGAGAGAGAGAGATGAAAGAAGGAAGAGAAGGCCTTTCTGACCTCGTACCCTCCTGTCTCTTAATTCTTTCTCCTCAAAATCAAGCCATAAACCCACAGAAGTTACTTTTTCCCTTCTCCACACAGAGGGGTACTGTCCCAGAGCCAGGCAGGAGGAAAGAAAACTCACAGGGACACCAAAGAGAATGTGAGTGACAGCCTTCCTGGATCTCTGATTAGACCACACCCCTGGTGCAAGCACAGCTACCAGGTGGCCATGCTTTACCAAATATGGGCAGAAAAGTGTTTTTCCCCCTGGGTCTTGGGTCTTCATCTCTGTAAGCTCCTGTGTCACACAAAACCTGATAAAAATGATGACACACTTTTCTCTTGTAATTTACTTTTGTTTCAAGAGTGTCAGTTATGACCACAATAATGCATAAGGAAAAGAATTACACCTTCCCACCCCTACAGAAGCAGGTGAAAGAAAAGAACAAGTGTTAAAAGAATTACTACCAATAAACCTTCACTAAGAGAATTTCTACTTTAAAAATGCCCCCCCCCCAAGAGAAAATGTGAGACACAATAAGGAAGAGTTTTGTGTGTCCCTGGATACCTTACAGGATACCATCTTCAATTTGAACTCACCAAAACTCAAGATATCAAAGGGAAGCTAACTGACACAAAGGGGAAAAGAGGACACTGCAGCAGAACTGGATATACTTGTGTAAGATAAGCTCTCTACAAACCTGGAACTATGCTAATGAAATGGGAAGGCAGGGTATGCTGAAAGCAACTGGGAACAGAGGAGTGACAAGATTAGAGAACAGGGCTACAGAGATAGGTCAGCAGTCTAAGCGCTGGCCTCGCAAGCACAAGGAGCTGGGCTCAATCCCCAGTACTGCTGTGCCCACCTAGGAACAGAAGAACCCAAGTAAAAAGTAAAACAATTCCTAGAATGAAATGATACCAGTACAACCTCACCAGAACCTATGTGACACAATAAAAGCTCTCCTAAGGGGGAAGGCTATCACAATCAATGTTCATATTAGAAAGAGTAAGCCCAAATAACCTAATGGGGCCATGAAGCTAGCTCAGCAACCTAAGCACCTGCCTAGGCCAAGATCCCCAGTACCACCTGCCATGCCATCCCTGCCCCTGGCACGCCAAGCCAGCCACCAAGACCAGGCTTGGTGGACAGGAGGATCACTATGGGTCTGAGCTGTGTAGTGAGACCCTGTACCAAATAAATGAATGACTAAATGAATGAATGGGTAATTTTTAAAAAATCAGAAAACAGCTCTCAAAGCCCTGCACACAGGTTTTCCAGAGGCCTGAGTGATAGGAAAAGGATGGTCAGGGAGGTCACCCTTAGGCTGTAGGCTGTGCTTCTTTCCCTACTTTTGCTTGGCCCAAACTCACACCACAGCCTGTTTCTTTTCCTATCTTTAATAAAGCCTTGCTACTGGTTATGCTTGCCTTGACCAACTCTTTGCTCAGGACACAAAGAACCTAGAAGCTACCTCCAGGAGACTGTAGCACCCCAAAACCCTACTACTCTGGCAACACCCGGGAAACTCCTAAGTATATACTGCCAAATGCATATGGGGCAGAGATGCAAATACAAAACAAAGCTAGGAGAGGACAAAAAGAGAGTAAGAAAGCTGACTCTAAACGAAGGATCAAAAACAATGTCTGAAAGAGCAAAACTACATACCCTTTCCATGGTGCATGAGATCTCAAATTAGGAAGATAATACATTTTACAACACCTCTGGGGCAGTACAGAGGCTTTAATTATTTCATATTTTCATATAAATTACCTTGCTGTAGTATGGCTTTATAGAACCTAGAGTATACAGAAAGCAAGCTGGCCATGATGGCGTACACCTACAATCGAGTACTTGGGAGGCTAACGCAGAAGGATCACAAGTTTGAGTAAAGCATGAATAACTCAATA